ATAAACCTCCCACAGAATTTAGGTAGAAATGAAAAACTGATAAAAAGGGAGATGGTGAAACTAGTGTCCAAATAAACAGTCATATACACACAAAAAAAATAAAAGCAAAACATTTTTATTGGGTCATGACATATTTTTCTGTTTTTCTATACAAAACTGCACCATGACTTTTCCAAAGACCCAGTATTTTTTTGCCTATTGCACTTCCCCAAATCTCTCCATGACTTTTCCAATGACCCAGTATTTTTTTTGCCTATTGCACTTCCCCAAATCTCTAATGCAATTTTTTAAAAGATTTTTTGCTATAGGGCACAACCATTCACCAGAGAGAGAGAGAAAGAGACAGACAGAAGTAAAGTGATAAGTCATCCCCCAGGGAGGACAACCATGCTGAAATTCCTTCTCCATTTTCCTCCTGGAATTTTGGGCATGCACACACACATGCCTGGTGTGGTTTTCAAGCCGCCAGGTCCAGAACTCAAACCGCTGTCATGTGAAAGTCCAGCGCCTTAACCACCATGCAACCAGCTGGCTCCCTCTAATGCAAGTTTGAATAGAATTGGTTAGTGTTGCTCCTGATGAGAGAGGAAAACAATCTGGTCTTTCATTGTTATGTAAAATATTAGTTATAGGTATTTCACCTATTTTTATCAGGTTGAAGAGGTTCTCTTCTATTATACTATTAGCTTGTTGAGAGTTTTATCATGAATAGATGTTTAATTAATCAGCTGGCTCCCTCTAATGCAAGTTTGAATAGAATTGGTTAGTGTTGCTCCTGATGAGAGAGGAAAACAATCTGGTCTTTCATTGTTATGTAAAATATTAGTTATAGGTATTTCACCTATTTTTATCAGGTTGAAGAGGTTCTCTTCTATTATACTATTAGCTTGTTGAGAGTTTTATCATGAATAGATGTTTAATTTTGTCACATCTTTTTTCTGAAAATTGTTAAAATTACCATGTATTTTTGTTATTATTTTTTAGATTTTTGCCAGAGAGTATGTGAGCTCACTGGAGAGAAACTAAGAGAGACAGAGAGAGAAGAAAAGTGAAGCATCACTCCATGAGGTAGGTGGTCACACGGCAATCCCTCCTCCTCCACTCTCTCAGGAGTTTGGGCACTCACACACACCTGGAGTGTTTTTCAAGGTCTGGGAATTGAACTGTGGAGCCGGCCATGTGGAATCTAGTACCTTAACCACTGTGCCACTCATGTTCTTTATTCTACTAATATAATGTATTATATTTATTAATTTTCATATATTATGTTGTTTATCTTGGTGCTCATTGAACTTCTTAGATTTGTAAATTTATGTTTTTCATCAAATGTGAGAAGTTTTCAGCCATTTCTTCAAATGTTTTTTCTATATCTCCCTCATATTCTTCTGGGATTATAATTACACATATATTGATACATTGGTTCTACAGGTCTCTGAGACTTTGTTCATATTTCTTCAATTAAAAAAAAATATTCTTGGGGGGCCAGCAAGTGGCATGGAGGTAAAGGTGCTGGACTCCGACATGGCCAGCAATAATTCTAGACCTGGACCTGGCAGCTTGCTTTCTTACTTTCCCTCTCTCTGTCTCTCTGGTCAAAATAAAAAGATAATAATGATGAATGTAATACAAATAACTATTTTTTTAAAAATTCTTTGTTCTTTAATTTCTTAGTTTCTAATTCATTTATTCTTTCTTCTGCCACCTCAAGTCTGTTCTTGAACCACCCTAAAGAACTTTCATCTCAGTCAGTTATAATTTTTCAAATCCAGAGTTTTCATTTCATTCTTCTTTAGAAAAAAATCATTTCTATCGCTTTACTGAGATTCTGTACTCACTGAGTCTTTCCTTTAATTCTTCAAACATGATTTCCCTCCTCTTTCTGGACATATTTAAACAATTATTTTACTTTATTGTCTTTTAGCTGAATTCTACATCTGAGGACAGATACTCAAAGATAGTTCCTATTGGTGGCTTTTTTTCCTGTATACGGATCACATTTTGCTTTACTAATATGTCTCTAATTTTAGAGAACATGACATTTTAAATAATATAGGGTAGCAACTCTGGATTCTGACTTTTCCCATAGGATTTGATATTGTTGTTTAGTTTATTTAGTCATTTTCCTGGACTAAGGCTGTGAAATTTGTCCTCCATATAAGGTACAGTTGCTGATGCTTTTGTACTCATTTTTTTTTTTCCTGTTCTTACTGTTAAGTCTGGATTCTATGGGTCATCTCCCCATCTGCCTATCTCAGTGTTCTAGAAAAGAGTAGTCAGAGATTTTACTCTTTGAGCCTGAAGGCTTCTTCTCTTTGCTTCTGATTCTGTGTATGGGCTGGGGAGCACATTCAAACTGCTGACTGTTTTCATGACTGCCCCAGATTTCACTTTCTGCGGGCTCTCTCACACCTCCTGTGAGTGTGCACATGGGCTCCGCTGGCTGCGGATAGGCCTGATCCATCTCTGCTGCTCACGCACACAGGTTCAGTTCAATCTGTGTTGAATATGGAGAGCTATCAGGCCCTAAATGGCTGTCTCACCTTACCTAGGACTACCTATTAAAAGCCCCAACTAGGCCACTAGTCTTCCACTTGCTCCAAAGAGGACTATAAATTCAAGCTGGAGAAACTGCTGGCCTTTCTTGTTCATTTGGCACCAAGGTGGCTATATTATTATTATTATTATTATTATTATTATTATTATTATTATTATTTTTGCTATAGGACACGTGCACTCGCCAAGAAGACAGAGAGAGACAGAGAGACAGAAAGCAAGAAATCACCCCCAGAGGGGATGGCCATGCCACAATCCCTTCTCCTCCATTCTCCTCTTGTGATCTTGGGCACGCACGCACACGCACCCAGCATGAGTTTAACCCACCGGGTCCAGGACTCAAACCGCAGTCAACTACCTGGGAGTTCAGTGGCATAGCCATTATGCTAACTGCTGGTCCCCCAAGGAGGCTACTTTAATAGACAGTCCTCCAAATAGGGTGAGCCCCTTCTGGACATATAAAGTTGTCAGGAAAATCATAACATTTTTCTATGGTTTTCTACACAAAAATGTGTCATGACTCTCCCAACAACCCAGTAGTAGTAGGATGCTGGATTTCACAGACCACTCTGCTCTGGTTAAGCTATTACTGAGACAGGGAGAAGGGAATGGGAGCAACAATAGGAAAAACATCACAAATTGGGATGTATTTTTTTGGAGGGGTTTTTGCTATAGGGCACGTGTGCGTGCGTGCCCAAGATCCCAAGAGGAGAATGGAGGAGAAGAGATTGCGGCGTGGCCATCCCCCCTGGGGGGTGATTTCTCGCTTTCTATCTCTCTGTCTCTCTCTGTCTGTCTGGCAAGTGCATGTGCCCTATAGCTAAAACCTCTCAAAAAAAAAAAATCACAAATCTACTCCATTCTTACTCAGTTTAGCAGTTTTCATGAATAAATACCTCTCAGTTTATTGTATGACTCTGGTCAATTTTTAGAGAGATGAAATGGATGTTTTTGAGTCTTTTTTCCAGCTTCCTAGTTGCTTTTGGGACAAGGTTTCATTAACCTCCTCACTCTACCATGTTGGAAATCAATTATCTCAACCATTTTGCCAGAATTAGAATTATTAATGCTATTAAAAAGTAGACATATGGGGGCCAGCAGGTAGCATGGTAGTTAAGGTGTTGGACTCTCACATGGCTGAATGCAGTTTAAGTCCCAGACCTGACAGCTTAAAAATCACACTGGGCATATGTGCATGCATGTCCAAAATCCCAAGAGGAGAAGGGACTGCAGTGTGGCCATCCCCACTGCGGGGTGATTTCTTACTTTCCCTCTATCTCTGACTAGTGAGCACACACAACTTATGGGAAAAAAAAAAGTAGAACAAAACATGGGTGAGAATATCACTGTGAAATCATATTTTCAGAGGAGAAAACAACCAAAAGCAAGCAAACAAACCAAAACCAAAAACAAAAACACCCAAACCATAAAGATGACTGAAGCACAAGTTGAAATCATTATTTCATTAGATTAAGTTAATTTAGAAATTTTACTTCTCAAAAGTAGCACCAAGGGCCCTGCAACTTGATTCCCTCACAGGTATTAGGGAACTAAAATGTACCAATAGAAAGAAGTTAGTCCCCAAGTATTTCAGTTAAGATTGCACATCCCACAGATGGTTTTCTGCTCCTCCTGCTTCTTCATAGTTTCCCCATCTCTAACATGTGCTTCAACCTGGTCATTCAGACAGAGAAGGCCATTCCTATAACAGCAACCACCCCCCACCTTTTTAAAGAGGTTTTTTTTTGCTATAGGGCGTGTGCACTCGCCAGAAAGCCAGAGAGAGACAGAGAGACAAAAAGCGAGAAATCACCCCCCAGGGAGGATGGCCACGCCGCAATCCCTTCTCCTCCATTCTCTTCTCGGAATCTTGGGCATGCACGCACATGTGCCCGGCATGAGTTTAAGCCACGGGGTCCAGGACTCGAACCGTGGTTGACTACATGGTAGTCCAGTGACATAGCCATTACACTAACTGCTGGTCCCTAATAACCCCTGTTTTGAAAATTTCATCAATGTTCCCCAACCTGGCTACTTATCTATTTTCACCCTCATAGACATCAAGAAAATAAATTCCCTATGAAATTAAAATTTTATCAAATCCTCTATGGAACTGTCTGTTTTGTTTTTTCAATCATATGGCATAGTCAGAGCATCAAAGAAACCTTAGAGTTTTTTGCAAAACCTTTCCTTTTGCTATGGATAAGTTAAGGCTCAAGAAAGTTAAGAAGCCTACCCATGGCCACCTTCCAGGAGTGGAATGAAGATTAAACATGCCATGCTGATAAAATAGGTGGAAGGCCTCAGAAATGGGTATCTGAGTGAAGGCTCAGCTCAGGGTCAGTGACCAGAAATGGTTTTATGAAGATCTTTATGACCCAGGCTCTAAGAACACTGGACACACCAGCTCTTGGGATGGATTTTCCCATCCCTCCCCTCTCTCTTACCTTAGCAAAGAAAATCCAGGCTGCACACTGCCCTGGGCCCAGCTGGCTTTTTAGCTTCATGGTACTGATCATGAGAAAGAATCCTAATAACCCACTGGAAGGAGAAAATATTCTTTTGTTAGTGAGGCTTCTCTCTCTTTAGCCATTACCTGACTACTTTCAGCCATATTTTACTAGTAAATTTCTAAGTATTATACAACCTCTACCTCATCTGTGTTTTCTAATGATCTCTGGATAAAGATACCAAAATATTTTTAAAATCCATGAAGCTCTTCTTTTCTAAGGAGGTATCATAGAGCATTTCTTTGGAAGTGGGAAGAGGGTATAGACATCTTGGTGGTCTCTGGCTAAATTAGGAAAGGACAAAAAATATGCAGTAGACAATACCCCCGTTCCATCTTATATTACTTCTGGAGCTTGGTGCTTGCCACACAGAGTTTCCTTTTTTTTTTTTTCAAGCAAAATAAACTAGCAAGAAAAATCTTCCAAAGAGAAACACACTATATGAGAAGAGGGTAGAATGGCCTCTGCACTCGCAGTGAGAATCTTTAGGAGAGGGCCTGCTCCAGGTACACTTGAAGTCGAGGCCAACTTACATGGAAGCTCTGCTTTGGGAAAGATGCCTAAACACACGTGTGTGAACTGAAAGATCCTGCCCATGGGAACCTGAGGACAGAGCAGCAAATTGGGAGCTATACAGAGATTAGACTAGCAAGGACATTGGTACAGGAGTGGATGGGGATATAGAGCCTATGCTGGAACTATTTTTAAGCGTGTCACTATGTAGTCAAAGTCAAAGCCAAGGGAACTCCAAACTGCTCTTGGCATTTGAAGGCAGGGCACTTGGGGAAGTACTGTAGAGAGACCACAAAGAGAGAGGCTCACTGCCTGCAAATATGTGCAAATGGGAGCTTAAATGTAACTTTTATTTGAAATTAAAAACTGAAAAGTAAAAAATGACTACCTCAAGCCAGAAAGGCAGGTCATGCGAGTCAATCGTACTTATAGACTCATGAGAGTAAGACTTCCATCTGGCTTTTATTACTGACCCCGTTATATGGCTCCAACTAAGATCATAAACTTGGAGGGGAGGGCCCAGTCTTCAGCTACTCTTTGTGTGCTCCCCAATGGGGCCTGTAACAGAGCCTTGGTCATTGTTTTGTTTTGTTTTGTTTTGTTTCCCCCAAGGTTTCTGCCATAGGGAATGTGGGCTCTCTGAAGAGAGACAGGGAAAATGAGAAACCACCTCCCCCTTTCCCCAGGGAGATGGTCATGCCACAATCCTTCTCCAATCTCCTCCTGGGATTTTGGATCCACGCACACACACACAACAAGCATGATTTTCAAGTCACCAGGTCTGGGACTTGAACCACAACTGGCCATGTGGGAGTCCAGCACCCCAACCACTATGTTACCTGCTGGCCTCATAGTAGGTATTAAATTAATGGTTGTCAGGTTCGATCGAGTGGAATACACTTAAGGCCAAATTTTACAGAAATACATACCTTCACGTCATTGAACTACATAAGTTCACAGCCACATTCTTGGGTCAAGACTAGAAACAGATAGATTTCCCCTGTGTATATCTCAGCCAGTTAGGCCTGATGACCTGCAAAGCTCATTCATTTGCATCAGTAGCTGTGGGACACTGAGCAGCTATGGACTGAGACATTAGGTCACACTCAAAAGGCAGAGGCCCTTGAGGGTAGGCAGCGGACTAACCCAATCGAATCAAATGATGTAACCTAGATTTCTATTCTTAGCTATGCCTACTGACCCTTATAACATTGAGCAAGTCTCCCTGGTTTCCTTTTTCTTGTGCCAGGTTCAGTGTTCCTAATGTAAGAATAAACATATCAGCCCTCATCCTATCTTACGGAACCAGAGCCTTAAAAGAGGAACTGATGTCTCACTTTATTAACAAGGAAACAGGAATTAGAATCCAGGTCTCCATGGCTCTTCAAACCTCAGCATGGGAATGTGCTCCCTACTAGCCAAAGAGTGAGATATTCCAGGCACCTGTAGCTCCAAAGATGGGAGTGGAAAGTGAAACAACCTGTGCTTTGGAGTACCTCTTAGCAGTTTTCACTCCCTACATCTGAGGTAACAGCTTCCCAGGTGCCTGCCGAATCTCTCTGACCTCTTTCCCCTCTGGTCTTTCCCCCTCCTCTCCACCCCCAGCCAGAAGGGCAGCATTCTATGGTAACCTGTCCCCTCAGTGCAGACTAGCCTAAGTTCTTCCTGGTTTGTAATGGTCACACGATGGACGCATCTAGGACTCTGTCCCATCAATTGTCTGTCTGAATCATCTCTGTATCATTCCTGGATGCCCTCTCTCTTCCTACCTTCAGCTCTTCTACCTCTGACTACAGAGGCAGATCTGAGAAGCAGAGGAAGGATCCCAGAATTAAAGGAGCCCAGAAATAGGAGACCCCCTGTTAATGGCTCCAGGTCATGGCTTCTACTATCCCCTCAGGTCTCTACAATCCCTGCTGTGCTCCGCAGGATCCCCTGAAGGTAATGACTCTCAGACAAATAAGTTTTGTACTGAAGGCAAGGGGTAAAATGCAACAGAGTTACATCAATTCAAATAAAGGTTTCCAAATCTTTAAAATACAGAGACCTGGGTTATCCTATTGCATTAGGAGAAAGTTGCAGAGAAAAAGGGGAAGAAATCACCCCACAAAGCCAACACCAATGGGCTGTGGACTGTGCTGACCTGTTCTAAATGAGTCAACTGCTGACCTCCCATCCACGCCCCACTTACCCACACTGCCAAACAAGTCCACTGGCACCTGAGAAACACGAGGGGACCTGCTGCATGACCCCAGCTAGCCGGCAAGTAAACAAGGCCCAATCATATGATAGGAACTGGGAAGATGATTTTTTTTTTTTTTTAATTTATGCCAGGTAGGAGGAAGGGAAAAGAAAAAGAGAGAAAACTGCCCCAAACAGGGTCTGGTAAGGCTATAGTCCTTTTTTTCTCCATTTTTCCATCCCTTTAGGATCCTGGGCACACATGCATATTTCTGGTGTGTTTTTCAAGCTCTTGGGGTTAAATTCAAACCACGGACAGCCATGTGGCATCTGGCCCTCTCTGCCCAAGGCTTAACTATCAGTATTTTCCTAAAATTTTTCTGAAGGCAATAGATAAATTGCTGTGAGGCTCAAGTGCAAAGAAAAATTCTGTAATATTGAGTCTTTTTTTTTTTCTCTAACATACCTGAGAAGCATAATATATCCCTTAGAAACAGTATTTAGACATATATCAGCTTTCTACCTCTCTGTAAAAACACTGCTTCAAAGGGTACTATATTGTATGCATGCTAACAGGTGGTTATCACTACGTGGTCTCACTAACACACAGCAACTGCTCATAGTTTATTAGTTAAAATTTTGTTTACAGTCAACCTGAGCATATAATAACAAAGGCTGCCATTTATTGGGCCAGGCACAATGCTTTGGACTACTAACAGTAGCTCTGTGTTGGTATTATTTTTCCATTTTATAGATGAGAAAACTAAGGCTATGGAGAACTTGGATAACTTGTGCTAAGACCACCCAGTTTACAAGCAGCAATCCTGGGATTCGACCCAGGTCTGGCAGTCCCCCCCCATCTCAGAAGACATGCTTTGACACTGTATACAGAAGCTTTTTACTTCTCAACATAATAAACTCAAGCAACATGGGGATTATGGCAGGAAAAGAGAGAGAGAATGGGCATAAGCTTCTGTATTTAGATACACTCATCTGACTGGTGAACAACCCTCCGTCCTACCAAAGGCCAAGTATTAATGATCACCTTGTCTAGACACCTCCTAGGTGTTGGCTTCCACATTCTGCCTCTTAAAGTCTTAGCGTGCTATGAAGGTTTTTCTGGACACTGCTTTCAGGAGCGTGAGAGAGACCAAGGTGGAAGTGGAAAGGGTGGGATCCAGACCCAAATCTAGCACTGAATCAGGCTTATCAGTATTATACACTGAAGTTCTATATGAGATTGCATGGTACAGGGAAAAATAAAAAGTAGGGGCACCTAGCTTTTCAGCAAATTCAAAACTGCTAAGGCACCTCCCCAGGCCAGGGGTCCTTACAGGCCCTGTGGCAACCCTGAGTACCCAGGAATGTCCAGTGACAATAACGAGGCGAGGTGCCTCCTTGCCTGCACCTACCACCATTCTCTCCTCCAGCTCGCTCAGATTGCCAGAGATGAACACACAGCTGATAGCACAGAAAACATACAGATTAGTGAGTCAACATTACCTGGCACAACAGCTGCCATGGAATCTGTAGAAATACAGGAATGGGAAGTCCAGGACGTTGAAGAGATCACCTAAGGGGCACAGCAACAGTGAAAGTATGGCCACATAGCCCCACATGCCCCTCTGCTCCCCTCACTGGCATCACCTCACTGTCCCAAGAAATGCAAGGCAAGGGTCTTTATTTTGCCACAGGGCACATGCTCTAACAGGAGAGACAGAAAGACAATGAAAGGAAAAGAGAAAAATCACCCCCAGGAGGGATGGCCACACCGCAATCCCTTTTCCTTCATGCTCCTCTCAGGATTTTTGGGGACTCACACACACGTGCCCGGCATGACTCTCAAGCTGTCGGGTCTGGGACTCAAACCAAGATCAGCCTAGTGGAGTGCAGCCATGCCACCACTAGCTTTAGCACAGTAGCCCTCTGAGTTGTGAAGTGCCTAGTATCGAATCCATTCTGGCATTCCTAGAGATTCCACTACTGGCATTGCCTGATAACAATAGTAGTATAAATAGTATGATAATGACCACTGAATGAGAGCACGCCTTGTGCAAGGCCTGATGCTAATCAGGCCTTGCACATTTATCCTTCAATCCACATTAAGAGGTTCTATAATCCTATTTTAACTGCAGCTCAGAGAAGTTATGAGATGTGTCTGAGATTGTGCAACTCAAACTGTGGAGCCCAAATGTGAACTCTACCTAAAACCCCAGGATCTTTCATCAGGCAGCCAAGCCTGCATGAGGGACAATGTAGAAGAAAAAAAAAAAAAAAGAACATTTTAAGATTCTTCTTTCCTGTTTTATGTCTAAAAAAAGGTATGAATGCATTCCCCTGACATCTTTTTTCATTTTTGTGTTTAATTACTGCACAAACAGCACAGGGGCCAGACCAACTGTGCATGCTCATGTTATTTGAGGTCCAAAGGGTACATTTATTTCTAGTGAAGTAAGATCATTCTTTTAGTTCCACTTGGTACAAAAGGAAATAATCACACATATTGGCTGCTTCCCTCTCTGGAATTTGAACTTGGTCACAAACAAGAAGTCAGGAGATTAAAAAAGCAGAAAGCCTTCCAAAAATGTCCAGAGAAGAGGAATTAAGCATTTCCACAGCAGATAGCTCAATCTGGGCAGGCTGGAGGGAGAGGCTGATTCTCCCGAATATTCGTAGCATAGGAGGGGTACAACAGGGAACCCACAGGCAGCGCTGCCTGCACCACTACACCTGCTAGCCAAGTGCTTCACAGCCAAAGACACAACAAACTGCGTTCTCAGAAACCTAAATGACATCAAATGACTGGCCCTACTCTTGGAAAGGAAGGTTCTGAATTCTATTTCCTGGGGGGTTATTTTTTTTTAAATCCTGACTTGTTATTTTCATTTGTTTTGTCTGTCTTTGTGTGTGTTTCACTAAAAGGAGATGTTTTATTGAAACTTCATTTTCATGCATCCCAGCAAAAGGTTAAGAATTCTCATTTTTTTCTGCAAGGATTCTGCTGACTACCTCTAGCTTCAGAACCTATGTTGGAAAAGAGAATTTGCACCAACGACATCAATCCCAGATTTTCAGTGTGTGAAGAGCACAGATGTATTCTGAAGTCCCTCTCCCCTCAGAGTGACAGCCAAAGTGACCCTGGGGCCCTTGGATCAAGGGGCCCCTCTTCAGGCAGGTATAGGAGGAGACCCTGGCAACTGTTAGTTTCTTTTCTGGCCCGTTCCCAACTTCCCTCTTGGTGTGAGAGGCACTGTAGTGTAGCCAGTGTGATCATGAGGAAGGGGCAGAGGGTGATCAGTTTGATCCAGGACCTTAAGACCCCTCCTCACAGCACCCAGCTGTTCATCAGAAAGACTCGGGGGGTAAACAGGACACACAAGTGTGATAGCAACCCAGGCTTAAGAGGGGGTCTCAAAAGCAGGGGAGAAATCAGAGGAGTCCTGGAAGGAGGAAAATATGGAAAAAGGCCATGGTCCTTGGAACCTTCCAGTTAGATGATAACCTCCACCCAAATCCCGACAACTGATCCTATAAATTAATAACAAGAGAAGAGACAAAGGAAAGAAGTGAAGGACCTGGCCCTTTCTCCAAGCCACTTCTCAAACCCTCACACATTCCTCAGTGGCACTTAGTGACTTCATGCCTGGCCTTCTCCTGCAGTCATCAGGTTCTGAGAACAGAGACTCTTTCCAGCTTACCCTGTATCCACCATGTGTTGCGTCCAGACCAGACTCCTAACAAGCACTACTGAACTGAGAGTGTCTGAAAGACTTAAACTGCCCGTTTTTCCCGGAGAGAATGTTCCAAACAGTTTCCACCTAGCTATGTGGGCCTCAGCTTCATGTTCAACATGTCCCTCCGATGCCTTCTACCTGCCTTCTCATTTACTAAAGCAGAACCTGAAGCCAAGAGCAGGCATAGGAACACCCCCAGTTCTATTCTGCAGGTGAAATCCTGCTGGCTCTCAGTGAAGGAGTGAATCCCATTTCTCTGATGTTACAAAGCATGAAACTCCCACAGTGAAAAGTATGGAATGGCCTCACCACATTCAAGACTAACTGATATTCGAATGTGAAGATAACTTCCACTCACCCCATTTTCCCCTCAGAACTGGCAGGAAAATGTGAGGTCAGTTTCAAGGAGTCATTAGTGCTGCTTGCTTTACTTTACACACAAGCCACACATGCACACCAGGTAACAAGGTTATTTCCAGGTCAGATCCCTGATCCTCTGGTTCTTTGAAACTCTTGCACAGCACAACAGAAGGGCCCCATAAAAACATGAAAGGCAAAGGGTAAATCTGGGAAGAATTTCTCCACTTTGCTACCATTTAGAACAGTCCAAAGGGAGGGTGGCACTCCGCTTAAGCAAGGTTCCCAAATTCTGGGAGCCTCTACATGAATCATAACATTGAAAGGCTAGAGGGAGAGGTAGATTCCACCTGCCAAGAAGCAAACCCAGGTGGGGGAACCATGCCCAGGACTGAGGAACTGTCCACTGATCCCTACCACCACCGCCCAGGACACCCCAAAAGTATGCTCGTCTTCCTAGTCATCCGTGAGTGAGTGAAGAGGGAAATTCGGTCAAAAGCATGATTAGAGACCATATCCATCCGCTATAATAGCCAACCCAAGGCTGACAACATCAAAAGCTGGTGAGGATATGGATGTGGAGCAACTAGCGCTCTCATACATTGCTGGGTGGCCATGCAAAATGGTGAAATGCTTTGGGAAATGGGCACTCGTTTAGAAAGTTAGCCATACATCTACCCTAAGACCCAGCAATCCTTCTCCCAGATATTTATTCAACAGACACAAAAACACAAGTCCATCTAAAGTCTTGTATAAGGATGTTCATAGCAACTTTTGGGCTAGTCACAACAGACACAAATGGGAAACAGCCCACCCAAGCACCCACAGGTGAATGAACAAACAAACTGTGGTATGTTCACACAACGGAACACAACAAAAAGGACCAAACTCATGATACACATGACAATATAAATTTCTAAACACCACACTAAAGGTAAGGATTAGACACAAAAATATACTTACTGATAGTTCCATTTAGGTGTAGCTTGAGAATAGACAGAACTTATCCATGGTAACAGAAATCAGAACAATAATGGTATATGTGACAGATGAGAAGAAGTGACTAAGAAGAAACTTTCTGTAGTGAAAGAAATGTTCTATAATCTTGATAGGAGTGTAAGTTACACAGGTATGTACATTAGCCATAATAGATTGAACTGAACTTTTAAGATACATGCATCTCATAAATGTAAATTGTATCATGAGATATAGTAGCAACACAACTGGACCCACATGGGTAGGTTGTGGGTTTGTGTCCTGGAGCTTCCCTATACACACCAGATGTGTGCATGTGTGCCCATGATCTGGGCTGGTTGAGGCTGGAGGTGGATTGTGGTGTGAAGACTCTACTGGAGAAACCTAAAAAAGTAAATAAACAAACTTTAAAAATAAAAATATTTTGAGGCCAACAGGTAGCACGGTAGTTAAGGCAATGAACTCCATGTGGCTGACCACAGTTGGAGTCCTAGACTTGGCAGCTTGAAAATCACGTTGGAGGGACACCAGATGGCATAGTGGTTACGTCGCTGGACTCCCATGTGGCTGACCGTGGTTCAAGTCCCAGACCTGGTGGCTTGAATGCTGGGTGCATGTACATACATGCCCAAGATCCCAGGAGGAGAATGGAGGAGAAGGGATTGCAGCATGGTCATTCCTCCAGAGGGTGATTTCTCACTTTCCTTCTCACTGTCTCTGTCTCTCTCTCTCTGGCAAGCATACATGCCCTAAAGCAAAAATTTCTTTAAAAAAAAAGAAAGAAGGAAAGAAAGAAAGAGAGAGAGAGAAAAGAGAGAGAAAGAAAAGAAAAGGAAAAAAGAGAAAAGAAAATCATGTTGAGCACATGTGCATGTGTGCCCAAAATCCTGAGAGGAGAATGGAAGAAAAGGGATTATGACATGGCCATCCCCTCCCTTAGGTGGTGATATATCACTTTCCTTTTCTCTGTCTCTCTGTCTCTCTACAGTGAGCACAAATGCCCCATGTCAAAAACCTAAAAAATAAAAAATAAATAAAAAATAAAATATTTTAAAATTATATCTCAATTTTAAAGTGTTTTAAAATTACTATCAAATAATTAAGATACAAGTAACAAAAGAAAGGAAAAGAAGAAACCAAAAGAATCAGTTCCCGCTTTAAAATGTCAGAAAGTATTAATAGATCCTTAATAAAAAGACCTTACCCAATGAACCCTGATTCTTACTGCATCTTAACTGGGCAGGTCCCCACCTGTCAGGAAGACAGCATTCCTGATCCCCATTCAGGTCCCACAGTGATTATTCTATTTGGAAACTATAATAAGCAACTGGGATAGAATAAAGTGTTGTTCTGTCATAAAATGGACTAGATTGCCCATGGGTCCAATCAGAAAGCTAGCACACTGGCAGAAATTAGAGCTGTTCAATAAGAGTAGTCTTCGAATAGCTCTAGGGGAGAGAAATCTTCCTCAGCTGTTTTAGGTATTAAACTTTGTAGTCAACTGCAT